CAGCGCTGCTTAATAAACCCCTTTTTTCAAGATTTTTCAAGCATGTGAAAAGAGCACTTCGGACGATTTTTTCTTCGACTATAAATTGGGGCAATCCGCAATCGAAACAGCTCAACAAATTAACCAGGTGTGGGGGCCCAATAGTGCTAGAGAAAGCACTGTGCGGCAATGGCTCAACAAATTTCGTTCTGGAGATTTCGAGCGCTTCAGAAGTGAACCTCAATAGGGTCGACGCTAAAGCAATATCTGAGAGGATTTTAAGGGGGATTTTGGAGGCTGACCCATCCCAAACAGTTCGAGAGATAGCAGAAGAGCTAGGCCTTGGCAAATCCACTGTTGCAGATGGTCTGGAACGCATTGGGAAGGTGAAAAAACTCGACAATTGGGTGCCCCACAATCGGAGTGACCGGCAGGAATCGGCACGTCTCGAGGTTCCTTCTGCATTGCTTTTGCGCAGCAGAAACGACCTGTTTTTGGGCCGAATTGTCACCTGTGATGAAAAATGGGTCATGTACGATAACAGGAGACGTTCCGGACAGTGGTTGGATTTCGACGAACCACCGAGGTAATTTTCAAAGCCGAACCCTCACGAAAAAAAGATTCTGGTCACGGCTTGGTGGTCATCGGCTGGTGTGATCCACTATAACTTTTTATCACCAGGCCAAACCATCACAGCAGAACCCTACTGTGAAGAAATCGACGAATTGTACCGAAAATTTTGTCAGATGCAGCCAACACTTATCAAAAGAAAGGGTCCGATTCTTTTGCATGACAACGCCCGCCCACACGTTTCACAAATCACTATCCATAAATTGAACGAATTGAGGGTTGAAGTTCTACCACAACCCACCCATATTCTCCAGACCTTTCACCAACCAACTATCACCTTTTCAAACATTTTCAGAACTTCCTTGCTGAAAAATACTTCATCAATTAGGACCAGGCAAAAAAAGACCTTCGTAGATTTCGCGTTCTCGACCACCCACCGCGGTTTTTTTTTACTTTGATGGGATTTCTCGACTGCTGTCACATTGGCAAAAGTGTGCTGATTCGAATGGTGCCTATTTCGATTAAATCCGATGAGTATTAAAAAAGTTACGATCGTTTAAAGTGAAACACCCAAAACGCTGAGAACTTTCCGGACAACCTAATACAATCCGCTCATATCGAGCGATCTTGGGACTTGCTCTAGCCCCGAACACTATGGTCGCTGCCTCATTTGTTTAAACACACACACATAACTAATCACTGTAGAATTCCAAATAGTACGTTTTATTTTTTCCACTGCATCCGATATGATGTTAATCTCCGGAACAACGGGATGAATACCTGTAAATTCGAAGAAATTCTCATATTGCTCACGAACTTCTGACTTCTTCCCTGGTATTCAGCCCAGTGCAAAGTGCATCCAGCGCCGATTCAAGACTAGCGCTACAGAGACGTCACCTCCCTTCTGTCCATCATCATCGGAGTCATCGGCGCTTCACAGCTAGTCGCTAAAAGAATCGACACGCAGTCGCACGCAGAGACTACTGACCCTGCCCAAGAAGTTTTGTTTTGAGTTTTTTCCATCGAAGACCCGGTTTTTGACTTCTTTCGTTACTCTTCTAGAATTGAAAATGAGCTATTCGTAGAATGCCGGTAACAAGATCAAAACTTACTTCCATGCCTGGACATAATATTGCTCAAGCTCTTCTTGAGGCTGTTCTCCCGTTGCTGTTTCTGAAAAAGTGATTAGTTATGAAAGGATCGATTCAGGCGGAAATTACACCAAAACGCAAGCAAAAGTAACGATAGCTTACTCGTCTCCGCTTGTGAAGACGATGGCCAACAATAACGGTGATTATATAAACAGCATATAGGCCAAGGTAGCCTAAAATAAGGGTCAAAGCTGTGATCTTTTACTAATTTTCATCATAAATTTGCTGCCTCCAGGGCAAAGGTGTGGAAGACGTGCCATTCTATTGTAAGGTAAGTACGCGCAGCTCGTCCGCAACGGCTGCGGTGTCGCGAGCCACGCCCACAAACGCGGTGACCAAGCAGTGCGCGTACATCAGAGATGTGCCCGTGCAACACTACAGTAACCTTCGTGCTAGTCGATTAAATCGATTGATCAAGGGGTTAGATCTAAGGGAAGGGCGGAGCCCGTGAAATTAGCTCGACCTTCATTCTGAGCTACAAAGCCGACTCAGATGGGCTTCCATGTTGGGCTTCGTGTCGCTTAGGACAGGAAGCATTCTATTAGTTTTTTTTAAAGCGTTGCTATGAGAAAGCACAAAAGCACATTGCGCAGCAATCGAATGGAGTCCCTCTGAAGGTTAGCACACCGTCGGGAGAGGCACAATGGCTGTGCGTTTTTACTTACCTTTCCGCCCATCAAATTATCGCGGAACGTCTCTTCGAGTGTCATTTTGGGCGCTGCTCGGCTTAGGAGGAGGGACGTTTCCACGGTCGCTAGTTTCCTTTGCTAGTTCCTGTCAAATCACACGTTCCACCTTTGAAAGACTAGTAATTCTCGTCAAGAGTGAGTATAACTCATGCTATCTCATGGCGTTACAGGAATTTACCGATTCTCGCAAGAGGTATCGGCATTGAAAATCGATCGATGGGAATCAGCAAAATGACCCCAGCAAGCCAAACTGCGGTCTCTTCTCCCCAAATCTCAGCCCAATATTCCCGTCTTTCATTTAAAAAATATCTGAGGAACATACCTGACGGTTCCCAAATATAAACTTGATGGCTGTATAGGAACACGAATAGAATCCATGCAAGAGCGATCAAATAGAATATCAAATCTCGAATTGTTGCGAAGATGTCGATTTTAAAAGGCCGTACTATTATTATTGTAGCAGTGACGACTGACGTTACAAAAGATTCCGGCTTCCTTCAAAAAATTAAACATGGTATAAAATTGCGTAATTAATAAAATATTATTTATCAGAAGTGTAAAGTTGGAACTCTCCTACCAAGAAGTTCTCCAAGGGCCAGTCCTGCTTTAGGTTTTGGACTGCTCAGAACGGACGCGATTGAGCCGAAAATATCCGGGGCTCCATTGCCGAATGCCATGAAAGTCACACCCCTTGGGTTAATCCACTGATATATACTCAGGATTTAACACGGTACCAACATTCAAAAAGGCATGTAACGATAGAAAAGTGTTTTGGAGTGATAAAGAGGCGAGAGTGGGAGGTAAAACCCCAATGGACAATGTCTCTCGTTGAGCGGGGCCGTATGTAAGTGGCTGAGGAGGAAGGTTTAGTGAGGTAGGGGGGAGAGGTCACGTCCATTTTCTGTTGGTATGTACTTCCAGTTTGTTTTCATTCAGGGCGTGTCAGCGGGGTATAGTTTTGGCGTGTCGCCAGCTGATTTCTCATCATTCATTAAGCACGCGAAGTCGTAATGACCGATGGAAACTGGCTGCCAAAACCCATGTCCACTGCCACGCCCCGACTGGAATCACTAATAACAACTGTACACTCCCCTGTGTCTCTGACTGAACCAGCAACTGTCCTGCGCAGAACTAGGTCCCAGACACGCCCCTTCCTTCTCCGGGATAAAGACTTCGAGCAGTGAACAAAGAAAAGTAAACTTACTGCAATGCTCTCACTGATTTTCAAGTGTGCCACAATCGACGAAACACTCGGCGAGAAGAAGTCATCGGCCGTCGATGAGACTACGACAAACAACATCAGCATCCAGAAAAATCCTGCAACGATGACGGCGATCTGAAAGTGGATCTTATTATTACTCGCTTCACTTCGTTTTTTTAATCTCTCTTTCTCTCTATCCCTTTCTCTCTTTAGATCCCATTTATTTATGTTCATATAACCGCTATTAGTGCTATAATTTAGATCAATAGCGTAAAAACTCTGCACCAGCTTTGTTCTCTAATCAGTTAGTCCTGCTCTGATATGGTGGCTTCGTCAACAGCTTCGTGTTCTTCGGACGCGTGCTCTAGGTGCATACGTCCCCACGTCCGATTTAGACACCTGCTATGATGTTTTCGAATTTGCATTACACTCTTCAGATCCAATCAGGGTGTGGTGGGGATCTCCAGCGGGAGGGGAGTCATGATGGTAGGAAGGAAGAGGGTCTCATTTTGCCTGAAATCTTTTAACAGCTGATTTCCCCGCTACTTCTCTTTATCCCCACCCGGCGGCAAAATTTTGGGAATTACTAAGAAAGTTTGTGGAACACTAGGAGAAAATGTAGCAAGCT